AGAGCCTCCCCGGCAGCCAGTGCACCCCACGACCCTGGACACCTTAAACCTTCAGAGCTGTGGGAGAAGAGATCGCTCATAGAGAGCTGTTTAAGTCACCACGTCTGCAGTATCTGTCACAGTACCCTCACAGATAAAGGCAGGCTCTAAAATCTTTACCCATTTAGTGCTTGGAGAGTGGCTTCCTCCACCTAGAAGGCCAAGCCACCAGCTGGTGCCCTGGACTCATCTTCTCTTCCACGTGTGTTCCTTGGGCTCAGAGTGGGCTCCAGGCCAGTCTGAACTGCAGAGTGAAATGCAGTCTCAAAAAATCAAAACCGGGGAGATAACTCAGTAGAATAAGTGCCTGGCAAGCACAAGGGCCTGAGTTCAATCCCCGGTTCTGAAAAAAATAAGTAAATAAAAAATAAAAACCTACTAATTTAGATTGAGCCCCCTGGCAAGGTCCTAATAGGAGATCGGGGTCACTGGTTCTCCCTCCACCCTCTGTGTGAGTATGTGTGTGTCCGATCGAGGCCTGCCTGTCTCTCTGTCCTAGAGCAACCTGCCCCATATGTCTCGGTTCCTGTCCGTCACTTGGGTTTCCTTTCTTCCTGAGCTGCAGCCTTGCATTCCGGTCTCCCAAATCAGGTGCTCTGGCTTCCAGTTTTGTACACATGGCTTTGGCATGTGCTCGGGTCTCTGCCTTGGCCTCTCCCCATTGGCTCACCTTCCTTCACCCAGGGCCCTCTCTCCTTAACGACTCCTGGAAGAGCTTTGCCTCACCCAGCCCGCAATAGTTCCAGCACTCTGGGAGGTTGAGGTAGGAAGATCCAAAGTTTCAGCCCAGCCTAGACTATCCAGGCGGTTCAGTGAGATGACTTTGCAAAATAAAACAACAAACAAAATAAAATAAAACAGCAAACATAATAAAATAAAATAAAGCCAAGTGCTGAGAATGCAGGTCAGTGTGAAGGTCCTCGGTTCAGTTCACGGTATTGCACAAAAAAGCGGGGGGGAGAGGGGGTAGAAGGGAGACTGTCTTTCCACTTTAGGTTGGAGGCCCATTCTCGGTGGTTAGAACACAGCCTTTTTATCCTTTAGATAGGATCTCCTTATGTAGCAGCCCAGGTTGGCCTTGAACTGATGTTTCTGCCTCAGCCTCCCCAGGGCTGGGATCACAGGAGTGAGCCACACATGGTCCTGTGAACCCTGCGTGGTGATTCCTGTTCTCTCTGCTCCCTGCTAGACTAGATCTTTTCTTTCTTTCTTTTTTGGCGTAACCGGGGATTGAACTCAGACCCTTGCGCTTGCCAGACAAGCATTTATTCTGCTGAGCCGTCTCCCTGGCCCCTTAGACTAGATCTTTCCATAGCGGCACTGAGGATGCCTCGCACAGGACGGCCCGACTCTGTGTGTGTACTGACTGGGTGAACTGAGGGGAGTTTGTTCACTGTCGCAAGCTCGACGCGGAGTACGTGAATCAGATACAGGGACCCTGGCCAGCGCACGTGGGCTGCTCCTGAGCAGGGCCCAATTCAGGGGCGGGGCCTAGACACGCCACGCCTACTGGAGGGCTTGGCCCCTCCCTGGGGCGGGTCCATCCGGCGCGCACTCCCGGAAGCGTCGCGGAGCCCGCCTTCCTGCCCAGCAGAGAGGCGTTACCGCTGCTGCAGCCGCTCCTGCCGCGTCCCAGCTGTTGTCGCAGTCATGCCGGTAAGTGGCCCTCCGCCCTGGTCGCGCACACTGTGGCTTCACCTGATGCTGAGGCCGGGGCTTCCTTTACGTATCCGTGGCACTCACCCTCCACCCTCTGAGACCCTCCAGAAAGACGGAGCGTAGAGGCTTCTCTCTAAAGCGGGCACCAGAATTGGAGGTGCAAGGCCTCCGCGAGCACACGCGCAGACCTTCCCTGCCTACGCTGTGTGCGGAAACTGAGAGCCCCAGAGCGGCCCGAGAGCTGGACCCGCGACGCCGGATCTCCGGCCTTGCTGGGGGGTGGGGCGAAGCAGCAGGTGGGTGGACCTGACCCAGTTTGCCCCGGCGGTCGGTGTTTTTCCTCCCTTCCCAGCTGCTCGGGTCTTGCCCCAGCTCTGGGCGCTGGGCAGCAGGGATTCGAAGCAGTGCTTTCAGCCTTTCCAGCCGGGCACTTTTTTCCTGAAGCTCCGAGACCCAGAGCGTTTCAGGAACCTGGCCACTATGGCTAGTGACTGAGATGAGTTTGGGGAGGAGGGTGCGCAAGGAGGGAGGACTTAGCTTGCTTTCCCGCTATCTCATGCAGCCCTGTGCAGGGACGCCACCGTCTGTACCTCTTAGATGAGCAATTAGGGCCTTGGATAGAATTTAAAAAGAAAAGCCCAGTAATCATTGGAAATTGAAAAAAGAAAGGCAGAAAGATTGATTTTTTTAAAAAATTTTTTAAAAAAGAAATTGGATAGAATCGGTATTAAGCCCCTTCCTTCCTCTCCCAGGCTGCCGGACAGACAAAACCAGTCCTACTGGTTTGGGAGAACGCACTGCTGATCCCAGTGGTCCCGAGATGGAGGCGTGGGAGATGCTGGCATGGGTCGGGGAGTGGTTAGCAGCCACCTCCAGGGTGTTCAGCTCAGCCTTGGGCCAGGTGGGTACCCAAAGGTACCCGCAGATGCACTAGCCTAGCAGCCTGTCTTTTGGGAGCTGACAGGTGAGCCTGAGGCTCCCTAGGCAGAGCTGGAAACATCACGTGTCATTTCTTTGGGTCGTGCCAAGCACCAGGAGACAGATCCCTAAGTAACACAAAACGTGGACGAAGCAGCTGATGGAATCAGCCCTACCAGTTGAGCAAGTCAGGAGCAGCAGGGTTAGAGGCAAGCGCAAATCCTCCTGGGACCCGTGGAGGCTGCCACGTTGTTGTTGCGGGTAGCAGAGAGGAAGAGGCCAGCCTAAGGGTCTATACTGTGTCCTCTCCTGGGCGCTGGGGGCCATGCTCGGGACCAGGAGGACGCTGGGCCTCACATCAGAGGCGCACAGTGGAAGGGAAGTGGATGTTAGTCTGGGGACTGCCCGGAAGCAAAATGGGAAAGAGTGCGTTACCTGAGAAGGTTCCAGACCAAATCTGAGCAGCTCAGGGCTTGGAATCCCGGGGTCCCCCAGAAATCCGCATCCTGGCTGGCCAGCTGCAAGAGCTTAAGCACCTACCTTCCCTCTCCTTTGATTTCCTCGTTGGTAATACAGGGGTAAGACCTGACCTCCCAGGACCACTGTTAGCACACCTGGGAAAAGGCCAGTAAGATGCGGAGTGCCACCGCTGACACAGCCAGTCCCCAAGAAATGGGCTCTGGAGTAGACCCAGGACAGGTGGGGCAGAGCTGTAGATAGGCAGGTTTTACCAGCCCTTTTTTCTTTCTTTCTTTTTTTTTTTTTTTGTGGAACCGGGGATTGAACTCAGGCCCTTGTGCTTGCCAGGCAAGCACTTCTACTGAGCTATCTCCCTGGCCCCTCTTTTTATTTTTTTGTATTAGAGACTTAACCCAGGGTCTTCAGGCTGGCCTTGAACTCACTACGTAGACTTATGTTGACCTCGAACTCCAGGTGATCCTCTTGCGCTGGTCTCCCAAGTACAGGAGTTACAGGCATGCGCCACGATTCCTGGCTGGACCCAGGGTCTTGAGCTTGCTAGGAAATGGCTGTACCACAGTGCTACATCCCCGCCCTTTTTTAAAAATAAATATTTATTTTGAGGGTTGGAGATGTAGCTTAATGGTAGGGTGTTTGCCTAGCATATCTGAAGCCCTGCATTTGATCACAGCACAGCAAAGAAAAAGAAAAAACTTTTTAGATGGGGTCTTGTTGACTTGTCCCACTTTGCCTTGAATTGCTGCTGCTCCTGCCTCAGCCTCCTGAGTAGCTGGGATTACACGCGTGTGCCACTATTCCTGGCTTCAAACCCATTTTAAGAAAGACCTCAGTGGTTGAAAGTTGAAATTTGGAGGATTGGCCAGTCCAGACCCTGCGTGAAGGCCCTTACCGTTACATCGTAGCTTCCTCTTGTGTCTACAGGGTGCTAATCAATTGACTGTGACAGTGCACTCAGGAGGCTGAGGCAGGAGGATCTTATGTTCAAGACCACCCTGGGCTACCTAACAAGTTCAAGGCTGGCCTTGAGTATCTAGTGAGATCCTGTCTCCAAGGGAAGGGGAATAGTAGTAGTACCTACTTCATGGGGTTGTTATGATTAAACAAGAGAATTTCCATAAAGTGTTCTGTTTTTTTGAGACAGGATCTCACTTTGTATAGCTCAGGCTGGTCTTGAACCTGCCAGGATCCTTCTGCCTCCGCCTCCCGAGTGCTGGGTGTACAGGCGTGTATCACCACTCCTGGCTCACATACAGTGTTTAGACAAGTCCCTGGTGCATAGTGGGCACTGAAATATTAGTAAATGCTCGGTGAAGCGTCCCTAGAGTGGCCAAGGATGAAATCATTGCTTCCCTAGACCGGATCCTCGCCCTTCCAGTTCTGAGGTCACAGTGAAAACAATTCATGTTTCCTTTAAATTCCCCTTCAAAGGCTCCTTCTATGAGTGAGGAAGCGCAGCCCCTGCAGCCAGACCGCCAAGCCCAGCCTTGGGGGATGGCCTCTGCGGAAAGGGTGGCCTCCTCAAGCTGACTTCCTGCCCCCCCCATTTGGTTTCATGCCTCAGGTAGAGGAGGAGCCGGGAATGGTCATGTTTGCTGCCAGAAGTCACCTCTGACCTCAGCAGCCTCCAACCCTGTAGCCCAGAGGGTAGAGGAGACCTGGTCCCCGTGCGCGGCTGGTGTCCCAGATCTCTGTGGACTTTCGGTCCTGGGGCAGCAGTGCGGACAGCCAGGGCTTTGGGGGTGGCAGGGGCCTTGGCCCTACCAGACCCGCAGGACTTCCCAACCCCAGGAAGCCTGGGTCACCTCCTGTCCTTAGTGCCCACTCCCCATCGAGAGGTGGGCGCCCCAGGAGCGTCACTTTCCACTTTGAGGTAAAACCAGTGCTCCCTTTGCAGGCTGGAGGGCAAGCGGATGACACTGACACGTGAGAGACCTTGCTTGGGTTGCTCTTGGAAACCTTTCAAAGCCTGGGCTCGGTACACAGGTTCCACCCACCCATGATTCTTCTATGGATCACTGTGGACTCTAGAGCAAGACCGAGAAACTTCCTGAAAGAGCGGGTGGCATGCACTGTCGTCTTCACAAGCTGTACAGCTTTTGGTTCAGCTACTCAGTGCTGGTGTCTGTATTGTTTTTTTTTTTTTTTTAACGTTTTTTGTTTTGTTTAGAACAGGGTGTTCAGGGTCTCACTGCGTAGATCAGACTCGTAGTGGTCCTCCTGTTTTCAGCCTCCCAAGTGCTGGGATCACAGGCGATTCCCATCATAGCTGGCTGTTTCACTAATTTTTTGAGGCTCCAGAGATCAAACCCAGGGCCTCAGACATGCTAGGCAAGTGCTGTGCTGCTGAGCTGCATCCCCAGCCCTTCACACTGCTTGTTCAGGGAAGGAGAAGAGTGAAAGAAAACAATTTTACTAAGGTGGGAACTTTTTGCCCAGAGGAACTTAGTCCTGGGCTCCACCCCTACCTATGGAGGTGGTGGTTGTCTACTACACTTCAGTAAGAATCTCTATAAGCAGTAGCTTCAGGCACCCAGACATGGTTTCAGAGAGGCAGGAATCTGGGGGCAGCTTAGCTGAGTGGGTCAGACATAAAGTCTCCCATGAAAGGGCATGGAGCCAGGCATGGCGGTGCACACCTGCAGTCCCGGCACTCGGGAGGCTAGGCCGGAGGATCACTGCAGCAAGTTCAAGGCCAGTCTGGGCTGCATTGTGAATTCAAGGCCAACCTGCACTACATAGTGAGATTATCTTAAACAGAAAACATGCATACATACATACACACGTAAATGAAAGCGTAAGCTTCCGGGGATGCCGATGCTGCCAGGGTCTCGCCTGGTCTCTCTGGTCTGGTTTGGCCAGGTGGAGGTATGGCTCGAGATTGCTGCAGGCTCACGGTCCCTACTTCTTTCAGAAGCACGAGTTCTCTGTGGACATGACTTGCGAAGGCTGTGCGGAGGCGGTGTCCCGTGTCCTCAACAAGCTGGGAGGTGAGTGAGCTTGGGTGGCCATCATGACCCCCCCTCCCCTCGTGCCATGTCCTGGCCTTTGAACCCTCAGGACAGCTGTTTCCGGGCACATTTGTAACCATTTCCACCCATCATTTCCACCCATCGTCACCCCCATGTCCAAGTCTTTTTTATTTTTTTAATTTGTGTGTGTGTGTGTGTGTGTGTGGCCAGCTCTGCCCACCAGGGGGCGGGGCTGGCTGGCATGTGGTGCTGGGGGATTGAACCCCCGTCCCTGTGTTCTGCTAAGCTTGTTCTAAGTAGGTGCTTTAGACCACTGAGCCATCTCACCAGCCCTCTTTTTCTTTTTTAAATTATGAGACAGGGTCTTACACAGTCATTACATCACCCATGCTGGGCTCGAAATTGTGATCTTCCTGCCTCAGCCTCCCTGAGTGCTGGGATTATAGGCGTGTGCCCCTATGCCCGGCTGCACACTGACTGTGTGTGTGTGTTCGTAGGGATTGAACCCAAGGACTTGTACTGAGCTCCTTCCTCAGCCTTTTTAAATTTATTTATTTTATTTATTTTTTTTGGCGGAACCAGGGATTGAACTCAGATCCTTGCGTTTGCCAGTCAAGCGCTTATCCTACTGAGCCATCTCCCCGGCCCCGCCTTTTTAAATTTAGAGGTGGAATCTCTCACTAAATTGCACCGGCTGGGCTCACCCTCCCAGAGTACTGGGTTGTAGGCGTGGACCACCAGGCCTAGCTCTGTGCAGAGCCCTTTATTTGGGCTGTAGTTCAGGCTGGACTTAAATTCACTGTGTAAGCCAGGCTGGACTCAAACTCTTCTTCCTGCCTCAAGTGCTGGGATTACAGGCGAGCGCCACAATGTCCGGCCAGCTCCAGCTCTGATGAGGCCCTGCCGCATCTGCTGATCTTCCCTGATCACTGGGGCAGCCATCTGAGCCGGGCTTTCCTGGGCAGGGAAGGCAAATGCCTGCGAGGGCCTGGGAGTCAGCGACCAGTTTCAGGCCCTGTGCGCTGGGAGTGCGGCTGACTGCTGCCCTCTCCCTTGGGCCTGGGGAGGGGACAGCACGCACATGTGCCTCTCTGCTATGGCTCCTTCACGCGCATGCTGCAGGGGTCCACGAGAGCCCAGGGGCTGTCCCAAGGCAACCAGGGCTCTCCTCCCTGTGTGACCACTTGGGGACGCCTGTCCTGGAGCCTGGGAGTTCAGGGGACGCAGTTTGGGTTTTTGTTTTGGCAGTGCTGGGGATTGAACCCAGGGCCTTTGCACTGAGCTGTGTCCCAGCTCTTTTTTTATTTCAAGTCACGTTCCCTCTAAGTTGCCCAGGCTGTCGCAGGCTTCTACTTTTCCCACCTCACCCTCACGAAGTCCTGGGTTCACAGGCACCAGCCACTGCTGCACAGCTCGAGGCCGTGGTTTGAAGCCTGCAGTGTCCAGTAAGCCAGGCGTTTTCTTCTGGTTCTGTAATGCTGCCAAAATATTTATTCCCAAGATGAGGGAGACCCTTCCAGACCAGTAACAGATCCAGAGTGTGGCAGGGACCTGTGCCTCTCTCCCTGGGTACCCACTGGGTACTAGTCCAACGGTGGCGAAACCAGACCCAGGTGCCCAGGCACCGTGGCTGGTGCTGAGCTGGCTGGCTCCCTGCCCCTCTGTCCCTTCGCTCAGTCCTTACGTGGCCTTCGCCTCCTGGGCAGGCTCAGAGCACATGGAAGTTGCTTGGGCCCTAGCAGCCTGGCGCAGGCCTGAGGGATCCTGTGCTGAGCCTTGCCAGGGAGGAGTGAGAAGGGCTGTGGGCTGGGCTGAGCCAGCCTGGCGCTGTGGCATGGGGAGCTGAGACCCGGATCCCAGGATCTGACCGAGGTCACCAAGCAGCGAGCAGCGGGGCCTGTGGACAGCCTCACTGGGCACTCACCGCGTGTTTCTTTGTTTTGCTGATTCATTCTGAACCCAGGGCTTCACATGGGCTCCATCCCCTGTCCATTTTATTTTTATTTTGAGACAAGGTCTCTGCCCAGCATGGGCTTAAGCTTGGACCCTTCCTGCCCTGGTGTGCGCGGCTCCAGACAGCTCACGGTGCCTTTCTCTGGCCACAGAAAGACTGTCTAGGGCTGGGGAGATGGCTCAGTAGAATAAGCGTTTTTCTGGCAAGCGCAAGGGCCTGTGTTCAATCCCTGGTTCCACCAAAAATAAATAAATAAAAATTAAAAAAAAAAAATGAGATGAGTCTGTGTGTGCTAAGTCGGAAGGACAGAAAATATGCATAGAAAAGCAAAATCTCGGGAAGACGTCTTGATGTGGTGTGATGTCACTTCGGGCACCTAGTTCTCCTTTGCTTTCTGAATGGATACCACACTATTCAAAGTGATCTCCAGGGCCAGGGCCAGGGGAAGCCTCCACACTTCTTCGTGGTTTTCTTCAGGAAGTTTGGCCCCTCCCGTGGCTTTGTTGTTGTCGGGTGGTCTCTCTAGAAATGGCTCACCACTCAAAAGCATTCCAGGTCCCCTTGCTGCAAACAACGAACTGGATGAGCCAAGCCACAAAGCTTGTTTGAAAAGTGAGGGGTGAGTGGGGAGGGAAAGAAGCCGGCTCTGCACAGTGATTTGGGTCGAACAAAGAAAAAAGGTAAAAAGGAAAAAGAGAAGTCCCTGCAGAGCCTGAGAAAGCTGGCCGGGGTCCTCGGGGCATTCACGCAGGAGGGCGGCTTCCTGAGGCGGCTGGTCCTTCATGCCGCCCGCATCTGTGGGAGCCCCC